CAAGGTAAATTCCATTATTACCCATCATTTTAAGTAAAGAACTTGTCCAAGGTCCCACACTCGTAAATAAGTAGCAAAGCCAGGATTAACTCTAGTTTAAAGACCTCCTTCAAAAAAATTTAATGCTGACACTCGGCTACATGGTGGCTGAACAGAAATTCAAACCCAGGTCTAACTCCTGAGCCAGAGAGAACCTTCTCTCTTCTTGCCAACATGCCAAGGATGGCCCTCAAACCTGCCGCAGTGCAGAGGGGTGCTAGGAAAGAGGGGAGCAACCAGTATTCTGGGGGCCCTGAGGCAGGGCCATTTAAGCTGCACCTTGAAGGAGAAAGTGTTTGCTGGACAAAGATCCTTCATACAATTTAGCACAGTATTTGTAAAAGAAACGAAAAATAAATAAGCCTATCCAAAGGAAGACTTTTAAAAAGATGATATAGTAACTACGAGCAAAGAAATTAAACTATTGAAGTGTTTCAGACTGAATCAGAAAAGTTTACATTTTTAATTAGAAAACACTCTTGATGAAGGAAAACAAGTTTTTATTCCCTTTAATATTGACCATACATTAAAAGAAATTAACAAGGAATAGAAATGTTAAATTTGCCATTTGTAACATTAAGCTCAATTAATTCTGCCTTCCAACATTCACTTTCTCAAACTAAGCGTTGCAGGCTGGGTGGTTAGCAAACCTTCAGGGACCTTTGTAAGATTCTCCTCCAGCTCCTGCAACAGCATTTAGAAATCAAAATGAGCTGGGAGACTTAAGCTACGAACTAGAAGGAACAGGCGCGCACGTTGTAGTGGCGGGGCCAGGAGCCCGCGTGTAAGCTGCGGCTCAAACGCTGTAGAGCTGGAATTTTTTTCCTGGCAAACTGATTTATGACCACAGGAAGGGCAGCTGCAGAACCGGTCAGACCGTGAGTACAATTAGCAAACATAAGCCCAAGAAGAAGCACCAGGAAGGGATGGGAATGGCAAGGGGGTCGTTGCTTCTTCCCGGATTCAGTGAGACCCAGCAAGTCTTAATTTCTTGCAGCAGCCGGGGGTGGATGGACTCCGCTGCCCGAAACGTGCGCGCCCAGGGAGTCGGCACAGCATTTGGGCAGCCCGACAAGGTGCCTCCACGCCCCCTTGCGGACCCAAATGATGACTGACGACGATGTGCCAATTAAGTGATAGGTACGGGCTTCCAGAAATGTTCTCTCAGTTTAGCCCCCACAAGCCTTCAGAGGCGCGGTGATCAGTCCCATTTTACAGATGGAGCAAACGGAGGCTCAGAGGAGTGAAGTAAGACTTGTCAGCAAAAAAGTAAAACCTAAGCGAAGGCGATCACTGGGCTTGCTCCTTTTATCTAGGACTAGAGGGGTTGGGGTCGGCTTGGGGACCCCACACCGTCCCCTCTTGCTCTCTGGGGGAACCAGGCGCAGGCTGTCAGCTGGGAAGCCTGGCAGCACCCAGGTACCTGGAAAGAGGGGGCCCGCGGCGGGTGGCAGTGAGTCTGCGGGGCTGCAGCAG